ACATTCACCCACCTGCATCCAAGAGTCTTGGGGAAGAGCAAGCCACGCATACACTGGTACCTCCCAATCCTCCCTAGGGGAATCTTCCATTCAGACTCTCGGATTATATTGCAAATGATTTTGAAGTGTTCCTTTTCAGTAGTTATGTCTCTGACTCTTCTTCTGCAACAGTTGGAAGTGTACCCTCCCTGATGAATGCTGGGTTAAGGAACTTTGCCACAAAAGCCCACAACTTATAGACATCCTCAAAATTAGTCAGGAAGCCCAGAGAAGCTGTGACAACCTCGACTCTTATGAACCCACTTTTCCCATCATGTCGCCCATTTTCCATCGGTCTGCACAGGGTAGTATCTTCTAGGTTCATAGCCCCTCGCTGTTGTCGTGGACTATCTAATATTCGTATGTGACTGAGGAAACCAATACCGAGAGAAATACCTTCTCTTTCAGCCAACTTCTGCACAATCTCTGGATTAATGAGGCCCCTGTTTTTATCCCTCACATTGAAAGCCACAGCTGCACCCCTTTCATATTTTATCTTTGGGCCATAAATGTGAACAAGATTCACTTTGCCATCTCCATCTGAACTAAGTAATTTGAGCTGTAGTAATGAGGTTACAAGCCAATTAATCAAAAACCGTAATCTAAGAGTGGTTTTATTGAGCCCCAACATATTAACATGATCAAGATGCCGACATGTTATCTCAGGCTCCCTCCTGTCCCAATCTTGTCCATCACCATATTCTCCATCGCTGGTGTAGTCTTCATCATCAAGACTGGTCACAGACACTTCTCCTGGCTCCAAAGTATGACTCAGGCGCTCTTTACGGCCCTCCTCCATGCTAAAAGATACCCTCCTTCCCCTGCTTGGATGTTCATCTTCTAACCCAAAAAATCTACCACCATTATATCTATTCCCTTCCCTCCTCCCCAACAGCCTAAATTCACCTTCAGTTTCTCTTCTTATGGCACTCTCTTTAATCTCTGAGGAAATTTCAGAAGTTGGGCCATTTGCTAGGCCATTATTCCGAAACACAGAAGACTTATTGAGGCGAGCTCCATTTATAGCAGAACTAGATACAGACCCCACAGACAGTGGTTTGCTGGTACCCTGTTCTTCCTGGATTTCCAGAACATGCGAATAATGTGAAATCTTCTTATGATTTTGCGAGGTTATGTTTGTTCCTGCTAATTGTTCTTCTTCAGGGATCTCCCTCACACGGTCGAGTTCCTGCGAAACTGATAGAACAGCAGCATCAAATGATAACACATGATGATCATCATGACCCAGGTTCACATCTTTATCATCATACATTGGGCTGCCATATATCTTCGATGTTGGCTTTGGAGAGAGCCGCTTGTGGTTCTTCTTGCCACTAAACCAAAAAGGTGGCAGAGGGGAGGCAATTTTCTGTTTATTCAACTGACCTGCACTATCAGATCCCAATGGACTCTGACCCAAATCAATCCACAATGAGTTGTCTGATGACTCATCTTCACTGAAGACAGGGCTTTTCATCACTTCTCCTACAGAAATGCTCTCAGTTTCTTCAAAAATGGTGCTCGCTCCATCTCTGTCAGAACTATTATCTGGATCCATCTCTGTATCAAATACATCCCTAACCTGAGCAGATGTGAAGGCGCCAGAAAAGGCAGGCAACTGTGATCCTGGACGGCTTTCAGAGGGTTTATCACCATTCACACCAACTTCATCATCCTCAATTCCACCCAATCCATCAAGACCATCTACAGAATCACTCAGATACAGAGGATACTCAGGGGTGATCTTCACCATGCCAGACCCGGTAGATCCAGACTGGTTCTGAAGACTTCCCATGACTGATTTTTTAATAAGAAGGCACCCAAAGCCAGTTGGATCATATCCAAACACCCTGTAAAATGATGTTATAATGAAATCCGGCCGAAACAAAGACAGGCCAAGTGAATCCATATCTTTGGGACCCAATGACCCAGCATCAAGCAAGACATGCCAATTGTTCTGCTGAGCCAATGCCATCCACTGATATGAATACTTAGCCCCCGTTACTCTAGACTGCACTGGGAAAACAAAAAGACCAGTAGCAGAATCCTTCTTCCTCCTCTTTTTATTCGAAATCTGCTTTCTCAAATCAGTAGAACAAAGTTTAAGAGTTGGCCATTTGAACCAAGCACTGTAGATTTTTGCACCCTTTTCCCTAGCACTCTGAGCCATCCAATTCACTGATTGACTCTCATAATCAAACATGGTCAACAATTTCTTATTCGTGTGAAAGGGATATGAGTCGGCCAGCAACTTAAACGCAGACCCCCTACTTACCGTAAACACAAGGCCATACTCATGTTCTGGGATGTTCAAATAATCCATTATCCTACTCTTTATGTCATATTCCACGGTGCCTTTCTCAGCACCACCATAAAGTGCATGGTTACTCAAATTTGCAGTTATCTCAGACAAACTAAATGTAGAAGACTCCCAGTAATGCAAAGTTTGAACATAAGAGAAAAGCCCGAATCCACAATAATCAAGGCATACCTTTGGTGATAAATGTGCATACTCATTTGACCTCAACTGATCAATCTTCTCTGATGACTGGTATTTTGGGTACATTGTGAGGAACTTATTGAAAGCCTCACGGACATCAGGGATAGAATCTTCACTCTCAAATATACGCTCCGCGGCAAGAGCAGTAGCTCGCAAAAATTCACGCTGAGCATGGAGTCTTGCAAGGGATCTTGATCGTCCCAAGCTCTCATCTTGATTGCCTAGTGAATCAGGTTCCATGTCCTGGGACTTGAACAAAGAGCCATCTTCAGATGCTTCTTCAAGAGCTTCCCTGAGCTTGTTCTCATGTAGTTTCCGGAGAATAGAAGGGTTCTTCTTGATTTCAGCTGCTGATTCAGACCCATCTCTTCTCCTGCTCTTCTTGTCTAAGATCAGAGCAGCACAGTGAGATATGGGTTTCCACAGTGAAAGATGCATCAAAGCGGCAAAACTTGAGACACAAAACCAAGAAGAAAACAGTTCAAGATTCAGCACAAAAAACCCACTTTTTTTCCTTGGTGGGTTCAATTTCGAACCCTAGGACTCAAAGCAAAAGGGAGGAATCTTGTACCAGATCAAGAAAGCCCCAAATTCAGCTAAAAAGAATAAAATTCAGAGAAAAACAACCCATGAGGAACCCAAAATGTAAAAGGGGAAATAAACCCAGCAACAAATCTCAGTCTCCAATCTGAGAAACAAAGCATCCCAGGATCAGTTCAAAAACCAAAAAGAAAAAGAGTTTTAAGGTGCCAAACCACAGGAAAGAACCCAGAATTGGAAGTATACAAGAAAGTCAAAAGCCCATTTTTTGAAGAGAAGTACAAGAAAGACAAATACGTGGAAGGGAACCCAATGAAGAGACTATTGAGTCAAAGGCTGAATAACTGAAGCCCTAGAACCCCAAAACCCAGATCCCAAAAATTAACAGGAAAAACTCTCCCCAAACAAGACACTTGAAAAAACAAGAACCAAAAGGGTTTAACAGAAACAAAACATAGAATATAAAGATCCCTTCTTCAACCTCAAAACCCACACATCCATCAAACAACTAAAACCAGCTAAAAAAACTGGACCTTTCTCTCTTTATCTTTCCCTTCCTCTTTTCTCTCTCTCCTCTTAATTGCAACACAAATAAAAGCAAGCTAACTCCTTTACATCAAATGCACATTTACTTGGGGGGAGCAGTAAATCCAAAAACATACAACCAGAATTGATAACCCACTGTGTCTCTCTCTCTCCTCCTCTTTCTTCTCTCCCTTTCATTGACTCTCTCTCTCTCTTTCACTTTCTCTCTCCGAGATCTTCCACCCAAAGAACCTCCCCCTAACAAACAGTGAGAAAGGACATTGATTTCACAAATCAAATGCAAGTGCTTGTTACTGTGTTAATATTATTTCTCTTTTATGGATTACTAAGGCTTTTAGTATCTAAATTTTAATTAACTACCTAATTTCATTATTTCTTTTGTGGGTTGTGGGGCCTATCAGAAAACCTTTTCCTCATATAGTCTTAGCCATAAAGTCAAAAAATCAGCTGGCTTGTAAAAGCTGTTTTCTGTCCAACTAGGCAACTAAAAAGTCCACCTCTTGTAATCCTCCTCTCCTCCCACCCGAATCTAGATTGTTAATTAATCGTTCAATTTTTAACTTCCCATCAGAAGTTTACATTTATTTATAATTTCCAATTGTTGTCACACTGCCCATTTTCTATTGCAAAAAAATTTTAGCTTTATCTGCTAAACTACATTTGACTTGCACCTCACTAAACAAGTGGCCAAAAAGAAAACACTATCTTTTGGGGGCAAATTGGTTTGGCTCATACTGTCATACATGAATGAAAATTGAGTGTTTACATGGTAGTTTTTATTTATATTATCTAAAATGAGGTCATCAAATAAGATAGATTCTTGGTTCAGCAACAACCATTGTGAACTGCGTGCAAATTGCATTGGGTGGCAACCCAATCCAATAAAAGGGAAAATTCTTATTCTCCAAGTTTTTGCATTGTTAAAATGCTTAAGGATGGCATGGACAATCTAGAAGCTTCAACATTGATAGTATATTTGATTGATTACCCCTTCAAACTTTGATCGTTCCAAATCAGAAGAGATAAAAGAAAAATGGTAAAGAAAACCCTTACTTTGCAGTAGCGATGAATGCTGTTTGAATTTTGATTATGGGCCAGGTCAGGGCTCAAGACTAAAGATTATTTAAGCTATTTTTGAAAGAAGACAAAAATATGTATTTGCAATGGAAAACTTATGCTACCATATAAGGGCACATCAAGTTGGATACAGATTAATTCTATAGACTTCTAGTTGTCCTTTTTCAGCCTTGTTTCATAAAAAAAAAAAAAAGAAA